ATCAAGGAACCTTCCTTGAGGGGGTATGCCTGGGGAACTGGACCAGTCTTCAAGTAGGGCGTTGCCTGGTGTGCAGACTTACACACTGAGAAATTGAGAGATAAACTCTTAGTTGCGAAATTATTAGTTACTTGTATTAATGTGGAAAATATTGCTTAAATATAAGAACAATACACTCGATAAACTAACTCTTTCCTTCTAAAGGAATAGATATATTTAAACTTTCTTGCACATGACCGAATTACTGTACTATAATATTACACTCGTAAGTTGTAGCAATTACAATTATACTAGAAGTTGACTGGTGTGGGTGGCATCCTGGGGGCAGTAGTATACCGTAGCTTGGGCTGGGTTTTGAAATGAGAGACAGGATAACAGCTCTTATAAAAACTGATTTGTGTAAAGAACACAAAGACACAATACCATAACTGGGATAATACACAAATTACCCACACATAGGGTTGTGTATGATCTGTATAAAAAATAATTCTCGCAATTACTAGGATATCTCACACGTCATGATAACATTATCATTGGTGATATCATTATTCAATGGCTTATTATCATCATCCAACCCTGTTCATATATAATCTTCTAAGTTATTCGAATTTTCTTAGGAAGCCCCAAGTTAAACCTTCTACCAGCATCTTATAGAGATCTCATGCTCATCTCAGTTTAATGTCCTTGAGATGATACAAAATTAATATAATTCATTGATTAACAGGACAACAAAAAATTAACATCTCTGCATCCAAAATTAGATCTAAGAGATATTAACAGCAACTAACATAATCACATTAATTTTTTCCTATGATTACCGCGCTGATGCAAAACCAACTCAGCAACACACTTGCAGCCCCCATAACTATCATTTTGTTTTTATCTCCATCAAATATACAGTATTTCACTGGTTCAGGAGCGAAAACCTGTGAAAATAAAGACTGGGTATTGCTAACGAATTTGCAAATATATTTTATATCCATCAACATCAGTACATCGTTTAATTTGAGAAATTATTTGCAGATTCTTTACTCTCCTCATTCAACTGTTCTTCAACCTCTTCTTTTTCCTCATTTTACCTTTTCTCCTCCTCTTACTTCTCCTATCCCTGTTATTCCTTCTTCAAGGCATTGAAGCAAATAAAATATAATATAGACTTTCCCAGAAGAATAGTTTTTCCTCGCAATCTGAAGGAGCAAGAATTTGAAATCGTGTTAAATTACGTAAAAATCATATATTTTAGGTTTTGTGATCTCTTCAGCATTCGTCTATCCATTAATTAATACAGTTCCACATAGGGATTTTTTTCAGAATTTCCAACAAAGAACGTGATAAAAAGAAAGATGAGAATGAGGTCATGAAGGCCAGTACTACTAGGTCAATTGTCCGCGCTATTTCTGTATGTATAAAATATGTTCTTCTCCCTGTCATGCAACTGACGTCACAGTGCGGGTGGAGTCTTCAGTATATAAATGACGTGAGTGCATCAGTGAGCATCAGTTTAACTCGACTTGATCTACCTATAACATGTTCCTTAAGGTATTTTTTAAGACAAAAATATTTGTGAGTCCAATGTACACACCGTAAAAAATTTCTTGAACACTTTTCAAATTTATTTTAGAACTTAATATTAAAATTCTATGTTTACAGGCTTATGTTGTGGCAGTGTTTGTGGCCGTTGTCTCGGCTGAGCTTCCTCCCTCCTACAACCCTCCAACACCTTCCTACAAACACCCAGCTCCCTCCTATGGCCCCCCAGCACCAACTGTACGTTTATACTTGTTTCTGATGTCTTAAAATGCAAGTGCTGTAAACTGATGTCTATATATTGTCATAAGTCTCTCATTTCTATATGTTCTTTATTGTGAAAAGTCCTAAAAAGAAGAGAGCGTATGAAATTTTTCTCTTATTTTCTTTGGATAATGAAATATATTGTATCTTCTGGAAGGGTCATCCAAAATACGACTTTAACTACGCCGTGAAGTACGACCCTTCAGGTGACGACTTTGGACATCAAGAATCCCGTGACGGCTACAATACTCAGGGGAACTACTACGTGCTGCTTCCTGATGGTCGTCTGCAGAGAGTTTCATACACTGTGAACGGTGACGCAGGCTACGTGGCTCAAGTGGAATATGAGGGTAAAGCTCAGTACCCAGCCTACCAGCCTGCACCAACATATCATCCTACCCCCAGCTACAAGCCTGCTCCCAGCTACAAGCCTGCTCCCAGCTATGCTTAACTTAGTGCTACACTGATATTCACTGTTGACCTATTTATGTAAATACAATTTAGACGTATAAAACTCAATAAAGATTTGCAAATGCTTTTCCATTTTTTTACAATTATTTAACGTTAATTTAATATAATCGAATAAGAAAGAGAAGCAAATGACTCCGAAAATTTGTTGTCTGTCTCTAAGGATGCTAGCATTGCTAGCTGCTGAAGAAATGGTGCCTAAGAAATAGGTAATGGCTCTTATAGATCTGCATGTTAAGTCCTATTACTATCTTGTAAAATACCTCCAAAATAGTATTTTTTTCATTTTCTGATTCTTCTTGTCAGTTAACATTTGCCCCACTTGGAGACAAATGGTTTTTAGGACTTGACGTGCTGTTGGAGTGTAAACAAGGTAACATTTATGAAGGGATTCAGGGAGACCGGCAGGCCGGACTTGAGTCCTGGAGATGGGAAGTACAGTGTCTGCACTCTGAAGGAGGGGTGTTAATGTTGCAGTTTTATAACTGTAGTGCAAGCACCCCTCTGGCAAGACAGTGATGGAGTGAATGATGGTGAATTTTTTTCTTTTCAGGCCACCCTGCCTTGGTGGGAGACGGCCGATGTGTTAATAAAATAAAATAATTTGCCCGAAGTAGAACAGCCTGTCTGCATCTCTACAAATCCCGTTAGGGATAACGGACATCAGACAATCAAGAACATCTTCACACACATAATCAGACCTAGTAGTTTCCAGTTAACGACTACAAACACAATCACCATCACTTTCTTGCTTAGTCAGACACAACACTGATCCCTCACATTACGTGACTTTGTAACCCACACAGCTATCCTTTCTACTCTTTTTTCCCCTTCACATATTATATCACTGAATAAGGGACGAAAAACCCTGTGTGAGAATAAAAACGGAACACTGCTACGGGTTGCAAAGTATTTTTAATCTTCATTAATAATAGTCATTGAGGCTCGCTCGTGACTATTAGCGAGTAGTTAGTTGCCGAATTCCTTACACTACCCTTCCTACTCTTGCCGAATAAAGCAAGCGAAAATTTGTGTATGCAATAATTTCGCAAAAATCATTCTGAACCTAACGAGAAAAATATATTTCACTGTGTTTGTTTATTATTAAATTATTGTAAACTTATCTAAACTATATTTAGTTTGATTAAGCTAAATTAAATTGCGCTCTTATAATATATATTGGCAGTTTGGAGGGATATGTTGTGTATCTTTATACGTATATGCTTCTAAACTGTTGTATTCTGAGCACCTCTGCAAAAGCAGTGATAATGTGTGAGTGTGGTGAAAGTGTTGAATGATGATGAAAGTATTTTCTTTTTGGGGATTTTCTTTCTTTTTTGGGTCACCCTGCCTCGGTGGGAGACGACCAACTTGTTGAAAAAAAAAAATATATATATATATATATTGAGAAATCTTTCATGAACTGGTTGTATATTCAACTTTGTACAGTGAATATTGATTGATTAAAATGTAATATAATAGCGTTCATCATTATCTGGCTTAGCAGATGAAAAGGATCTTCTGGTTTTTGTGATACAACGGGGTTGTCACTGGAGGTCGTTGTTGTGGGGTGGTTGTTGGAGGTCGTTGTTGTGGGGTTGTCACTGGAGGTCGTTGTTGTGGGGTGGTTGTTGGAGGTCGTTGTTGTGGGGTGGTTGTTGTAGGTCGTTGTTGTGGGGTGGTTGTTGGAGGTCGTTGTTGTGGGGTGGTTGTTGGAGGTCGTTGTTGTGGGGTGGTTACTGGAGGTCGTTGTTGTGGGGTGGTTACTGGAGGTCGTTGTTGCGTGGTGGTTACTGGAGGTCGTTGTTGTGGGGTTGTCACTGGAGGTCGTTGTTGTGGGGTGGTTGTTGGAGGTCGTTGTTGTGGGGTGGTTGTTGGAGGTCGTTGTTGTGGGGTGGTTGTTGGAGGTCGTTGTTGTGGGGTGGTTGTTGGAGGTCGTTGTTGTGGGGTGGTTGTTGGAGGTCGTTGTTGTGGGGTGGTTACTGGAGGTCGTTGTTGTGGGGTGGTTACTGGAGGTCGTTGTTGCGTGGTGGTTACTGGAGGTCGTTGTTGTGGGGTGGTTACTGGAGGTCGTTGTTGCGTGGTGATTGCTGGAGGTCGTTGTTGTGGGGTGGTTGCTGGAGGTCGTTGTTGTGGAGTGGTTGCTGGAGGTCGTTGTTGTGGGATGGTTGCTGGAGGTCCTTGTTGTGGAGTGGTTGCTGGAGGTCGTTGTTGTGGGGTGGTTATTGGAGGTCGTTGTTGTGGGGTGGTTACTGGAGGTCGTTGTTGTGGGGTGGTTACTGGAGGTCGTTGTTGCGTGGTGGTTACTGGAGGTCGTTGTTGTGGGGTTGTCACTGGAGGTCGTTGTTGTGGGGTGGTTGTTGGAGGTCGTTGTTGTGGGGTGGTTGTTGGAGGTCGTTGTTGTGGGGTGGTTGTTGGAGGTCGTTGTTGTGGGGTGGTTGTTGGAGGTCGTTGTTGTGGGGTGGTTGTTGGAGGTCGTTGTTGTGGGGTGGTTACTGGAGGTCGTTGTTGTGGGGTGGTTACTGGAGGTCGTTGTTGCGTGGTGGTTACTGGAGGTCGTTGTTGTGGGGTGGTTACTGGAGGTCGTTGTTGCGTGGTGATTGCTGGAGGTCGTTGTTGTGGGGTGGTTGCTGGAGGTCGTTGTTGTGGAGTGGTTGCTGGAGGTCGTTGTTGTGGGATGGTTGCTGGAGGTCCTTGTTGTGGAGTGGTTGCTGGAGGTCCTTGTTGTGGGATGGTTGCTGGAGGTCCTTGTTGTGGGGTGGTTGCTGGAGGTTACCTCTTGTTAAGGTGAAACTAGTATATGTGGTTCATTAAATTGATCGGTATTTATAGTGTGATCGTGAGAACTTCTGCTGCTCTAGTTCCGTAATTATGGTTTGTGTTGATAAACGTTCAAAGAACCGACATGTTGATAAATTAGACACTTGTGCAACACTTTGGTAACTTTTTTTATGGAAATGTTAGCGAAACGTTTCAGATATAAAAATACCCAAGTGTTTAACACAGTGCCCCGTGGCCTGGTGGCTAAACTCTCGCTTCTCACGGTGAACGCCCGGGTTCGATTCCCGGCAAGGGTAGGGGCATTGGGCATGTTTCCTTACACCAGTTGTCTATATTCCCCATCAGTAAAATGGGCACCTGGGTGTTAGTCGACCGGTGTGGGTCGCATCCTGGGACAAAAGTGACCTAATTTGCCCGAAATGCTCTGCATAACAAGCGGCTTTCTGTATAGTAGTATGTCACTGATGTCAGCTATGGTCTGTATACCTTGTTCATGTAGAAATAAAGATATTATTATTATTATTATTATCCATTATAGTTGGTAATTGTGCCGTATCTACGATAGTGGTAGCTGTAAGCTCTTCTTTAACTGGGTTTGGTTGTTGGCTAGTAGTATGGTAGTAGTATGTTGTGGTAAATGTAGTTAGCGTGCTTAAAAGTGGCAGTTTCTTTAATCTAAGTAGCAGATGCCTCAGTAGCGACTGTAGGAGTTAGAGGCACCTGGCTGAGGCACGGGAAGCTACTGCACGTGGGGATCTCTAGCGACTGTAGGAGTTAGAGGCACCTGGCTGAGGCACGGGAAGCTACTGCACGTGGGGATCTCTTCCGCTGATGTCTGGTCAAAGACCGGACCGCGGGGGCGTTGACCCACGACACCCTCCCCAGGTATCTCCAGGTATATATGACCCGCAACTGTCTGCACTGTAGTATTCATTACTGGTTATTAGGGATATCCCATTTATATTAGAACGTTCTTGAGTAGTTTGACTGGGGATATAATGTTACATTCAAGCAAGTCATTTAGAGTTTAAATGAAGCAGTTGATGTTTCTCTCAACTTATTTTGCCCTGCGTCATTATTATTACAGAAAAAACGTCGTCCTGGCTTAATTTAAATTTGTATCCTTGTTGTGATTCCTTTTAATCTTAGAATTGTGACTTTAATTACTGTGATTCAGAGTAGTTTTGCAAATTCCTGAAATTTCTGTTTTTCACTAATTATAAAAGTTTATTTACTTTTTCAAAATAACTTCAAAAAGATATCGCACCAACTACCAGTCCACTAACCCAGCTACCAGCCCACTAACCCAGTTACCAGCCCACTAACCCAGCTACCAGCCCACTAACCCAGCTACCAGCCCACTAACCCAGTTACCAGCCCACTAACCCAGCTACCAGCCCACTAACCCAGCTACCAGCCCACTAACCCAGCTACCAGCCCACTAACCCAGCTACCAGCCCACTAACCCAGCTACCAGCCCACTAACCCAGTTACCAGCCCACTAACCCAGCTACCAGCCCACTAACCCAGTTACCAGCCCACTAACCCAGCTACCAGCCCACTAACCCAGCTACCAGCCACTAACCCAGCTACCAGCCACTAACCCAGCTACCAGCCCACTAACCCAGCTACCAGCCCACTAACCCAGTTACCGCCCACTAACCCAGCTACCAGCCCACTAACCCAGCTACCAGCCCACTAACCCAGCTACCAGCCCACTAACCCAGCTACCAGCCCACTAACCCAGCTACAAGCCAACTAACCCAGCTACCAGCCCACTAACCTAGCTACCAGCCCACTAACCCAGCTACCAGTCCACTAACCCAGCTACCAGCCCACTAACCCAGCTACCAGCCCACTAACCCAGCTACCAGCCCACTAACCCAGCTACCAGCCCACTAACCCAGCTACCAGCCCACTAACCCAGCTACCAGCCCATTAACCCAGCTACCAGCCCACTAACGCAGCTGCCTGCTCACTAACCCACCTACAAGTCCACAAACCAAGCTACCAGCCCACTAACCCAGCTACCAGCCCACTAACCCAGCTACCAGTCCACAAACCCAGCTACCAGCCCACTATCGCAGCTACTTACCCACTAACCCAGCTACCAGCCCACAAACCCTGCTACCAGCCCATTAACCAAGCTACCTGCCCCACTAACCCAGCTACCTTCTCACTAACCCAGCTACCAGCCCACAAACCCAGCTACCAGCCCACTAATCCAGCTACCTGCCCACTAACCCAGCTACCAGCCCACAAACCCAGCTACCAGCCCACTAACGCAGCTACCAGCCCACTAACCCAGCTATCAGCCCACAAACCCAGCTACCAGCCCTCTAACGCAGCTACTAGCCCACTAACCCAGCTATCAGCCCACAAACCCAGCTACCAGCCCACTAACCCAGCTACCTGCCCACTAACCCAGCTACCAGCCCAAACCCATCTACCTGCCCACTAACCCAGCTATCAGCCCACAAACCCAGCTACCAGCCCACTAACGCAGCTACCAGCTCTCTAACCCAGCTACCTGCCCACTAACCCAGCTACCAGCCCACTAACCCAGCTACCAGCCCACTAACCAAGCTACCAGCCCACAAACCCAGCTACCAGCCCATTAACCTAGCTACCAGCCCACTAACCCAGCTATCAGCCCACAAACCAAGCTACCAGCCCACTAACGCAGCTACCAGCCCACTAACCCAGCTACCAGCCCACAAACCCAGCTACCAGCCCACTAACCCAGCTACCTGCCCACTAACCCAGCTACCAGCCCACAAACCCAGCTACCAGCCCATTAACCTAGCTACCAGCCCACTAACCCAGCTATCAGCCCACAAACCCAGCTACCAGCCCACTAACCCAGCTACCTGCCCACTAACCCAGCTACCAGCCCACAAACCCAGCTACCAGCCTACTAACCCAGCTACCTGCCCACTAACCCAGCTATCAGCCCACAAACCCAGCTACCAGCCCACTAACGCAGCTACCAGCCCACTAACCCAGCTACCAGGCCACTAACGCAGCTACCAGCCCACAAACCCAGCTACCAGGCCACTAACACAGCTACCAGCCCACTAACTCAGCTACCAGCTCACTAACCCAGCTACCAGCCCACTAACGCAGCTACCAGCCCATTAACCCAGCTACCAGCCCACTGACGCAGCTACCAGCCCACTAACCCAGCTACCAGCCCACTAACCCAGCTACCAGCCCACTAACCCAGCTACCAGCCCACTAACCCAGTTACCAGCCCACTAACCCAGCTACCAGCTCACTAACCCAGCTACCAACCCACCAGCCCAGCTACCAGCCCACCAACCCAGCTACCAGCCCACTAACCCAGCTACCAGCCCACTAACTCACCTACCAGCCCACTAACCCAGCTACCAGCCCTCTAACCCATCTACCAACCCACCAACCCAGCTACCAGCCCACCAACCCAGCTACCAGCCCTCCAACCCAGCTACCAGTCCATCAACCAAGTTACCAGCCTACTAACCCAGCTACCAGCCCACCAACCCAGCTACCTGCCCACCGATTTAACTGCAAGTCTATCATTCCAGCTACTATCTGGAAGACAGTGTTTTGAAAGACATCTTGTATGACAGGAATTACATTTCTATCCTCGTTTGTTATATCTAGTAAAATACTGAAAAAGATTCTTGCCAGTATATGAGGAACACTCATGACATTCATGAATCCAAGATTATTGTATGACCATATAAGTGAAATACATTTAAAGCTTCTTCAGCTAAAACTGGTTCAAGTAATGATTGCCTACAGAGTAAGATTCTTCAGTCGAATACAGAGGAGGCCGCAAAAGAATTAGACATGCAAAGACGATGTAATCAGTGCATCACCTTTCAAGACGTAGCTATGGTAAAATATAAGACTAAGAAGACCACAAAATATCAGGACCTCACTTATATCTCTAAGTCGATGACAAGGTTAATGGTGAAAGAACTGAAAGACGCTATAAGGCTTTGCATTTCTTTATTGAGTTTAAAACACCTAAATTATATTTACATAAATACATCATCAGTGAATATCATTCCACCTCTAAGTTAAGCATAGCTGGGGGTAGGTTTGTAGCTGGGGGCAGGCTTGTAGCTGGGAGTTGGCTTGTAGCTGGGTGTAGGATGGTATGGGGCCGGCTGGTAGGCTGGGTACTGGGCTTTACCCTCATATTCCACTTGAGCCACGTAGCCTGAGTCACCGTTCACAGTGTATGAAACTCTCTGCAGACGACCATCAGGAAGCAGCACGTAGTAGTTCCCCTGAGTATTGTAGCCGTCACGGGATTCTTGATGTCCAAAGTCGTTACCTGAAGGGTCGTCCTTCACGGCATAGTTAAAGTCGTACTTAGGATGACCCTATGAGTAAAGACATTTTATTATCACAAAATTATTTCAAATGATTTTAGAGTTCTTTCAATAATTTCATTACTTTTTAAAATAAAGAATATGATGGAGTTTAGATATAATCACAAAAATTTTAGTATACTTATGAAAGTAGGATAATTATTAAAATATAAATGTCTGTATGTAACACTTCTATCTTAAGACATATGAGATACATATATAAACCTACAGTTGGTGCTGGGGGGCCATAGGAGGGAGCTGGGTGTTTGTAGGAAGGTGCTGGAGGGTTGTAGGAGGGAGGAAGCTCAGCCGAGACAACGGAAACAAACACTGCCACGATGAAAGCCTGTAAGCCATTAATATATGACATTAACTTCTAATATATGCTCTATAAGTATTCAAAGATTTTTTTCAAGTTGTTGACATCATCACAAAATAACTGATTTCCTTCCAAAACATACCTTTACGAACATGTTTTTAGTAGATCAAGTCTAGTTAAACTGATGTTCACTGATGTGCTCTCTTGGTTTATATACTTGAGACTCCACCCATAATCTGACGTCAGTAGAATCACAGGGGAAAGCAATGTATTTTAAATGTACAGAAATAACACGCGCACTTGACCAAGGTGTGGCGCCCATAACCTTCGCCTAGTCTTCCTGTTATTCTTCCTTTTCATCTTTTTCACCACAATCGTCTTCATTATCGTCACAATGAAATAACAGTGATTTTTAACACACTCATTCCCTTCCTTGTCTTTTAACAATATAAAATTTCCTCCCAGACTGATTTTTTCCTTGATACGTGTTGACTGACATCACATAGATTAAATGATCCGCTTAAATACAGCATCTCTCCCCTTCTTCAAAGTGCAGACACTGTATACTGACCTCCTCAAGGACTCAAATCCAGCTATCTACTTTCCCTTAATTCTGTATAACTGTTATCATGCTCACACTCCATTCAGTCAAATGCCAGAACCATATTTATTAAAAAATGCAGTCAATTTCCAGCTCTAATCTCCAGTTTGTGAAATCATTACATTAGTTATTATTTCATGGAAGAGGAGGATGGTTAAGATAATCAGTAGTAGTAGTAATAGTAGTAGTAATAGGAAGAGAAGAAGCAGAAGAAGGTTGTCGAAAAGACAGAGTATAAAAGTTACTACTCACTGTTTTCAAACTTCAGTGCAGTGGAAGCTAACTAAACTAACTGAACTGGTCAAGAGCGAGAAACAATGCGCTGATATTAATGATAATGAAATGTTTTTGCTACTCAAGAGCAGAGAGTCACCTTATTCTTAGACAAGCCTTCCTTTCTAAATCATTAAAATTATAGTGATAGAAGAAAGAATAGAAGAGATAATTGCATGAGTTGCTGGCCACGATTTGTGTTAATGAGTTAAGTCGCTCTAGAAAACTCAGATTAGGGTAAACACAGGTAAAAACAATAACAAAAGGATTTAAGATAGTCTTTAAGGTTGTCAGGAAATAGTAGATCATATATGGATGTAGAGTTGCTAGTTATTTTTTTTTTTTATTGAGAGCATATCTTGCTTTTTATTCTGCTACCGCTCTCGGTACTGCCTCAAATTTTAGCATCATACTTCTTGTAGCAGATACCATGCTACAACTGTATTGCTACAAGCAGAATATTAATTACATGAAACAAAAGTATATGATCAGTAAGAGATGAGTCAAGTGGTTAAACATCGGGTTTCTACTGGTTATGTTGCCACTCCCTCGTTCGTCTACCTCTTGATTCATGCAATAGATAAGGGTTTTCTGGAATTTCTAACAAGGAGCTAAAAGAAAAGGCGAAGAAGGTCACAGTGATGGCCACTTCTCGGTCAACCACATTGTGGGTGGAGTCTCGAGTATATAAACGACGAGAGTGCATCAGTGATCATCAGTTGAACACAACGTGATCTACCAATAACATGTTCCTGAAGGTATCTATTGGACTGAAAAACAAAAATATTTGTGAAACCAAGGTGCAAGTGGACAATTTGAAAAAAAAATCTTAAATTCTTTTCCAATATATTTTAGAGCTTAATATCACATACGCATGGTTTACAGGCTTTCATCGTGGCAGTGTTTGTTGCCGTTGTCTCGGCCGAGCTTCCTCCCTCCTACAACCCTCCAGCACCTTCCTACAAACACCCAGCTCCCTCTTACGGGCCCCCAGCACCAACTGTAGGTTTACGCATGTATCTCTGGACGAAAGAGTTTCGTCCTGATATCCATGACTTGTGATAATATCCACCTGATCCTAAAAGCTAACAAAAGTTTTCGCGATAACTTCTGATCTCCGACATTTTCTTCATGATAAAGGAAAAGGTCTGAAAATATTGAGAAGAAATGAGAATTTTCTGCAATTATTTTGTGATAATAAAATGTTTTATTCACACTGGCAGGGTCATCCTAAGTACGACTTCAACTATGCCGTGAAGGACGACCCTTCAGGTGACGATTTTGGACATCAAGAATCTCGTGATGGCTACAATACTCAGGGGAACTACTACGTGCTGCTTCCTGATGGTCGTCTGCAGAGAGTTTCATACACTGTGAACGGTGACGCAGGCTACGTGGCTCAAGTGGAATATGAGGGTGAAGCCCAGTACCCAGCCTACCAGCCCAGCTACAAGCCAGCCCCCAGCTACAAGCCAGCTCCCAGCTACAAGCCTACCCCTAGCTATGCTTAGTGCTTCACTGATATTCACAAATGATCTATTTATATAAATATATTTTAGAAGTATTAAACCCAATAAAGAAATGCAAATTCTTATGCAATCTTTAAATTAATTCAAACTTACATTAATAATTCGACCGCGAGATGCAAGTGAGTACTCCTTATTATGTGCTCTTAGTTTCTGATTGTCATTCCTTCACCAGCTGAAGGAATGGTGTATACGGAAGAGACATTGCCAATTATAGATCTTCATGCGCAGTATCATGCTTATCTGATACCATACAGACTTCGAAGCATTTCGACTTTGTGCTTCTGGCTTCTATTTTGCTTGTATAATTCAATAGGTTGTGTGGAAAAGCTGTACTCAAGTGACCCTGTATATATTTTTAATACCTTGCATTTATATCTTCTGGTCCACAGCACAGCAAACCACGGATACCTAATTGTAGACACTTTTGTGTTAAATGAGGACATCGGTGCGTTGTGAATAACTTCCAAATTCATCTATCTTACGGGATGAAATGGAATTACAAACAGCAATACGAGTCATAAGTGTATAACAAGCTCCTTTATCCCCAGAGAAGTGTTTAAGCATTTTTGAGGTTATGTTCTCTTTATTAGTACTGTTGCGCTGATATTGTCTGTGATCGTTATCTGAAGCTATGTTAAAGTACCTGTAAGTTTATCCCAATTACTGGGTTACTCAATAATCTTAGATTTATGAATCTCGTGCGGGGTTTTCAAGCACTCTGGCAAGAATCTTCTCCATCTAGTATATACTAAATACAACGGAGGAATATATGAATGAGATTCTTGCAATGTTCAGTGTCTTAAAAGCCTGACTCCGAGTTGAAAGCTTGAATGATGGACTGGTAGCTCAACTGGTGTGCTGGTAGTTTGGTGGGCTAGTAGGTTATTGGACTGGTAGTTTGGTTAGCAGAATGTCGTTTTGATATGTGGTCTGTTAGCTAATTTAAGTGGGTGTTAGCAGCGCTGATGGGCTGGTAGCTGGCTGGTGGTCTGGTAGCATGGCTGTAGGCTGGTAACTTGGTGGTAGGATGTTAGGTTGGCTGGTCTGGTATCATGATTGGTGGTCTGGTAGCATGTTTGTGGGATGGTAGCATGGGTGGTGGGCTGGTACCATGGTGATTGAATGGTTGGTGGGCTGGTAACTTGGTGGTTGGATGGTTGGTGGGCTGGTAGCATGGTGGTTGGATGGTTGGTGGGCTGGTAGCATGGTGGGCTGGTAGCATGGTTTGTGGGCTGGTTGCTATTTTATAAAGTGGATTATTACAACCAAGGAGTCCAAAAGGCCTGTTATCCTGGGTGTAAAGGGAGCAAAATAAACGCAGCAGAAAAACTTTTGACTTATATTATCCTTCACCAATTTAGAACAGAAGTATGTACACTATATATACTATGTACAACAATAGGTATTAGTGCACCCCACGGTAAGCAAGGCAGAATAGAAGCCACAAGAGAGCAGACCGTTCTTTAACCAGCTCTAGAATGGGATGACAAGGGCAGACAGGTGAGTGGTACCCACATCACCTCTTCGATTGCCAAAATCATCTTCTCATTGGCTGGAATCTGGGTACTGATTGAACGACGGGGCCCCATCGTCAACCCTTAGCCCCTGGTTCGCTGGTTGGGGGAGATAGCCTGTAAATGAGGGTGTGTACATGCGCCGAATAAAAGTTACGGACTCTTTGCATGCCACATGGATGCAAGATGATGAGCTGGTAATTGGGTTGGTTAGCCAAAAGCTTAATTGTAGGTTTCCTAGCTGGGTTAAGTTGGCTGTGATTTGGTGGGTTAGTAGCTGAATTTGTGAGTTGGTAGATGAGTTGGTGTCCTGTAAAGGTGGGCCAATGGCTGTATTAGTGAAATAGATCTACTACAGTAAATATGGTAATGGACAGAGATAGATAGAGGCGAAATGAAGAAATTAATAAAAGTTTGTAATTAGTGAACATAGTAAGAAACTTCAGTCAAGTGTAGAACTGCGTTGCATCTAAGCAATTAAAGTTACAATTTCCTGATTAAACTGAATCACAGGAAGTCTACAAATTTTAAATTTAGCCAAGGTGATTTTTTTTTCCTTTCTTGATAACGAAGCAGAACACAATAAGTCAAGGCCAACATCAATTGCTTCAAACACTAAATGACCTGTTTAAACGCAACCCACGGAAGTACCTCAATATGCAATAGCTTTCCTCGACGCCAAGCAGGGGCCTCCATTTCGAATCTCCATCGAAGCACCTGCTGCCTGGGCTTAAGAGACTGCCACTTTGAGGCACCCTAACTACAGTTACCACAGCACCATGTTATTAACCAACAACCTCAGGTAAATGCGCTTCTTGAAGTACTTACAGCTACCACCAAGGAAGTCACGGCGTAACTACCAGCAGTAGTTGTTACGGAACGAGAGCCAGTGAGACACTCGTTCAGTCAAGATCACATTATGAACACTGATCAGTTAAATGTACCACAAATACTAGTTCAACCATCAACAGTGATAATCTCCAACAACCAGGCTTCCATAGCAACCACCCCCACGACAACAACCTCCAGCAACCACCCCCACGACAGCAATCTCCAACAACCACCCCCACGACAACAACCTCCTGCAACCACCCCCACAAAAACAACAACCTCCAGCAACCACCCCCACAACAACAACCTCCAGCAACCACCCCCACAACAACAACCTCCAGCAACCATCCCCACAACAACAACAACCTTCAGCAACCATCCCCACAACAACAACAACCTCCAGCAACCACACCCACAACAACAACCTCCAGCAACCACCCCCACAACAACAACCTCCAGCAACCATCCCCACAACAATAGCAACCTCCAGCAACCATTCCCACAACAACAACAACCTCCAGCAACCACCCAGACAACAACAACCTTCAGCAACCACCCCGACAACAACCTTCAGCAACCACCCCAACAACCTCCAGCAACCACCTCCACAACAACAACCTCCAGCAACCACCCCCACAACAACAACCTCCAGCAACCCCCCGACAACAACAACCTCCAGCAACCACCCCCACAACAACCTCCAGCAACCACCCCCACAACAATCCCGTAATAACACTAGCTCCAGAAGTAACTTCATCTATAGAGGTGAATAATAACAATCACTAACATATTACCTTTTACTTAAATAGTGATGATACTCTTATATTTATTGCACAAAAAAAAAACTCAAAACCGAATACTCAATGGAACTATTAACTTCAAACTTTAAATTCCCGTCGAGAAAAACTGCCCAAAAGTGTAAACAAAACTGAAAGATTAAATTTAGTTTCCTGTTTGTTTAATTTTCCGGTTTGTTTCTATTTCATGAAGGATAAATAATAAGAGTGGGAGGAAAAGTAGGAAAAGTATATTGAGGAACTATTATACATTATATATGTCGTGCCAAATAGGTAAACTTGGTCAATTAGCAAGAGCTCATTTAAAATTAAGTCCTTTCTAAAATTTTCTCTTATACGTTTAAGGATATATTTTTTCATTTATGTTAATGTAAAAATTAATAATTTTGTGCCAAAAGAACCTTAGAAAACTTACCTAACCTTATTATAACAAGCGCAATTTAATTTAGTCTAATCCAGTTAAATATATTTTAAATAAGTTTACAATAATTTATTAATAAACAAACACACTGAAACATACTTATTCGTCAGGTTCAGAATGATTTTTGCTAAATTATTGCATACACAAATTTTCGCTTGCCTTATTCGGCAAGAAGAACGTTGCTATATAAGACAAAATAGCAAGTTTTACCTATGCCAACTCCAGTTGACAGGAGTGGAGTAAGTCATGTTTATATTTAACGTGTTGTACATAGTGCGATACTTTGCGTGTTTTATATTTTTTCATGGTCGTTATACCTGTAGTATACCTGGAGAAGGTTTCGGGGGTCAACACCCCCGCGGCCTGGTCTGTGACCAGGCCTCATGGTGGATCAGGGCCGGGCTGGCCAGGTACTGACTTTAGGTGCCTGTCCAGTGCCTTCTTGAAGACAGTCAGGGGTCTATTGGTAATCCCCCTTATGTATGCTGGGATTTTCGTGTGCAAGTTTGGTACTAATCCCTCTAGGATTTTCCAAGTGTATATAATCATGTATCTTTCCCCCCTGCGTTCCAGGGAGTACAGGTTGAGGAACTTCAAGCGTTCAAAGCAGTCGTTTTAACTAACATGTGTACCACTAATTTCGCAACAGGGTATGGCATATGCAGAAGTAGCGTTACCCTACTTTGGTTGTATACGTTGTTGTTTCCTCAAGATACGTGATTACGGAGAAAAAAAAATTCCAGCACACTTTTCTCACCATTTGGAGGAGTAAAAATTTAAACTCGTCTTCATAACTTAATTAAGCACACAAATATTCCTAGTTCATTGGTGTCTCTGTTATTCGTCTGCCCATTAATACATTTCACAGGCAAAGATTTTCCTGAACTTCTAAAAAGGAGCAGAGAAAGAAAAGGAGGAAGGAAATGAGGTCATGATGACCACTACTCCTCGGTCAAGTGCGCGAGTTATTTCAGTATGTATAAAATGTGTTGCTTCCCTGTAATACTACTGACGTCACACTGTGGGTGGAGTCTCCGGTATATAAACGATGAGAGTGCATCAGCCAACATCAGTTTACCTAGACTTGAGTTACTAATATCATGTTCATCAAGGTAATCTTTTGCATTAAAAAAAAAAACGTGATAGCAGTGTGCGAATAACATGAATATTTCTTTGGGCACTTTTCAAGATTATTTAAAAATAAATGTCACATATCTATGGTTTGCAGGCTTTTATCGTGGCAGTGTTTGTTGCCGTTGTCTGGGCAGAGCTTCCTCCCTCCTACAACCCTCCAACACCCTCCTACAAATACCCAGCTCCCTCCTACGGGGCCCCAGCACCAACTGTAGGTTTATATATGTATCTCATATATCAAAGCGTGAAAGTGTTACACACTGATATCCTTATGTTGTGATAAATTCCCTGTTGCTATGATCATATCAACTCTTAAGTGTTCTTTGTTATAAAAATTTGTTGTTGAAAATTTTCTGTAGTAGTTTTGTGATAATGAAATTTGATATTTCTAATCAGGGTCATCCTAAGTATGACTTCAACTATGCCGTGAAGGACGACCCTTCAGGTGACGACTTTGGACATCAAGAATCCCGTGACGGCTACAATACTCATGGGAACTACTACGTGCTGCTTCCTGATGGTCGTCTGCAGAGAGTTTCATACACTGTGAACGGTGACGCAGGCTACGTGGCTCAAGTGGAATATGAGGGTAAAGCCCAGTACCCAGCCTACCAGCCTGCCCCAGCCTACCATCCTACCCCCAGCTACAAGCCAACTCCCAGTTACAAGCCAGCTCCCAGCTATGCTTAATTTATTGGTACACTGGTGTTAACTATTGATCTATTCATGTAAATACAATTTAACTATATTAAAGCTCAATAAAGATATGCAAATAATTATGAAGAATTTACATTAAGGGAATCTTCACCTAATATTGTTGACTAAGAAAGAGATGCAAGAGAATCCTTGATATTTTGTGGGCTTAGTCTTTAAGAGGGTAGTATACCCAACTGCAGAAGATATGGTGCATAAGAAATAGTTAACATGGGCCAACATGTGTCGTCCCATACTATCTCGTTTCATTTATACGTTTGTAGTGCTTCTGGCAGCCACTGGAGCTGTATAATAGAACGCATGTTGTTTACAAGCTGCACTTGATGACACTGTTTACCTCTTAATGTCTTGTCTTCTTTCCTTTTAGTCTGCAGCAGAGAACACAAACGCCCTAAGTGAGGATAGTGGTAGCAACTCGAGTTTTTCTCAAAGAGTTCACAATAGCAAAAAAAAAAAAAAATCCTTCTTATATGGCAACTTCCTTTGCATTCAGAAAAAATAGCCACCTTTAATTAAAGCTAGGCTCTTCTCACTAGGCCCTTTCATTTGATATTTGTCTCTTGGTCATTATGAAGGTGATCTCGACATAAAACTAAGGTAGTATATAACTATGATGGACGACACTCCCCCCCCTCCCCGCTTCTACAAGTATCTTGATATAAGTCTTACAAACAGAAGAACGAGACATATTTAATGATACAAGATAAAATGATAAAAGATTTTGTACGCCTAATTTATTTACAAAGATTAAAGATGCTTTAGTGACGTTTGAATTATATAATATCAATTATGCACTGTAATTTTAATTATTAATATTTATTATATTAGCCAATAGTATTAGTAGCAGACTACCAGTGAAACTACCGTTAGCGTGACCCATCATAGGATGATTTGACACATGGGTTGACGTGGACGTGTAGGCGAACCTGGGAGTGTAAATTACATTGGGCATCTCACATCATTGGTCTTAATGTTTCTCTAGGGTGTGGACTGTGTAATGACTCATCAGGAAGATCATGGGTCAATACTAACTGTAGCTTGCTTATGCAGGCAGTAAGGTATCGTTGTAATATCCATTCCATGTATCTTTATCCCTGCATAATTCCCTTTCTTGCCAAATATTCATTCATCTTTCATTCAGATATCCATCCACTCTACATGTATTTGTTTTACACTAGCCTTCACCTTTATCAAAATTGCAAACTGCTTCAACGAGAAGTCAAAAACTCACTAAATTATCAAGTGTTTAGAGTGATAAGCCTGACTGAGACCACTGAACATTTATCATCTTCAGCTTTATCTGTCCAGATATATTACCTATTGCTTGTAAAGTGAAGATATTATACCCTCTAAAACTGAAAAACAACAAATTTGCTCATGAATAGAAACCTCACAGTCTACTGTTATGTACTGTTGAAAATTTGGACAATGACGCCATGGTGTCTAACAGACATTGAATGTATCGTGATTTACATTCCTGTTTTCGTCTGTGTTATCTTATGTATTTATGGAGAAGATTTTCGAAGCAGTTGAAAACTTTCATGAGATTCATAGACGAGTAAATGGTAGAGCCTTACAGCATACTTAACTAAAGCTGCTTCTCATTAACGATAACAAACAATACCAGTGTAAGAATAAAGAGATTATCATCACAACAGTGCTTACAAATTTCTCTGACAATAAAGGTGTTCGTTATTGTTCCTCTAGTTATTTTAATTAGGGTAGTTACTAGTAATGCCTCCACTGGGCTCATTTAACACAAAGGTTTTTTCCAGTTAGGCCGACCACTCAGGCCTCCATGATGTCAACCATTACTGACCGGAAGAAAATAGTCATGAAGAGGTAAACATTGTCATCAAATCCGTCCTTTTCACTACCACTAAGCAATTATGCAGACACAATAGCAGCCAGAAGCATCCAAACTTCACACTATTCCACCTTGTTGGAGGTAATATTGGAATGTAAATTTAAATTTACAGTGTCCAATGCCAGTCTCTTACATTATTTATTCAGAAGGTGGCACTGCTACGTTCTGAATTGATATTAATTTAAGAATAAATTAATGAAATGGTGGTACAAGGATTTGAATTTCTTTATTGAGTTTAATACATATAACTTCACCTTAAATAATTAGATCAATAATGAATGTCAGTGAGTTACATAGTTATGCATAGCTCGGGGTAGGCTTATAGCTGGGAGTTGGCTTGTAGCTGGGGGTAGGTTGGTATGCTGGGGCAGGCTGATAGGCTGGGTACTGGGCTTTACCCTCATATTCCACTTGAGCCACGTAGCCTGCGTCACCGTTCACAGTGTATGAAACTCTCTGCAGACGACCATCAGGAAGCAGCACGTAGTAGTTCCCCTGAGTATTGTAGCCGTCACGGGATTCTTGATGTCCAAAGTCGTTACCTGAAGGGTCGTCCATCACGGCATAGTTAAAGTCGTACTTAGGATGACCCTATGAGTAAAGACAAGACGTTTTATTATCACAAAATTATTGCACACAATTTTTAAGTACTTTGTTCATAACTTTCTGCAATGAAAAATATAAAGGAATTCAGATGTTATCACATAAGTTTTAGCATACTTGTGGAAGCAATGTAATTATCACAAGATATGGATGTAAGTGTATAACACTTCTATCTTAGAACACATGAGATACATGTATAAACCTACAGTTGGTGCTGGGGGCCCGTAGGAGGGAGCTGGGTGTTTGTAGGAAGGTGCTGGAGGGTTGTAGGAGGGAGGAAGCTCAGCCGAGACAACGGCAACAAACACTGCCACGATGAAAGCCTGTAAACCATAGATACGTATATGACATTAAGTTCTAAAATATAATTCAAAAGTTTTTAATATTTTATTTAAATTGCTCAGTCACTAGTATCGCAATTTTTTGTTTTATAATCTAAGACATACCTTTACGAACATGTTTCTGGCAGACCAAGTACAATTAAACTGATGTTCATTGATGCACTCTCGTCATTTATATACTGGAGACTCTACCCATAATGTGACGTCAGTAGAATCACAAGGGACAGCAACATGTTTTAAGCGGACAGAAATGACGCACACTTGACCTCCTTCAGCTACTCCTTTTCCTCTTCCTATTTCCCATCTTAATTGCAGTCGTCTTCGTCATTCTACTCATTGAAACAATAGTAATTTTAACAAATTTGTTCCTTGTCTCGCAGTTGACGAGTATCATTACAGAATTTCTTTCTCTCAGAATTTTGGATGTTTGTAGTTGTTAGTGTTGTTATTTTATCACATCGGTTCTTTCTCGTTTCATTTGTGTGGCCCCAAAGAAGGTAACAAATCCAGCATCAATCATTCAACTTTTGTCTTCCCATAAGTTCACCAATATTTAAGTTCAAATGATCCACTAGGTTAAGTTAGGTTAGGTAAGGTTTGTTAGAAAACAGGACAAGTGTTTCTTCACGCTGGTCTTAGTCATATGATAACCCACAGTTGGAACTTTTGCTTATCTGACCGAGACCTTCAACTGGCTTACGGGTCCACCTCTCTAAAAGTTATGATCCACTGAGCTGCAACTTCCCCACTCATTCTTCGGTTTCCCCTCCATCCTTTCGTAAATGTTAGCTTGTTCATACTCCAACAGCAAGTTGAATCCCCATAACAATTACTTCGTCACTAAAACCTTACACTCACATACACTTGTTGAATAATGAATCCTCTAGCATTTCTTTCCTCCTTCATCCCCTCACTCCAACAGTTTTAGAGACGACTCATCTCCCTCTTTACATACAGCAAGACTTATATATCTTGGTCAACTTATTTTTCACCGTCCAAGTAACTAAACCATCTCAATAATCCCATTTCTTTTACCTGCATAATATTTACACAGTATAATGATCTCAAATGATATTTCTTCTGCTTTCAGCCACATTATTGCATCGATTCAAGACTCTGCCTCACACCCATAAGAAAGCGTTGATATCACTATACTTTCATATATTCCACAGTTTGCTTCCGTTTCTTAATTTTTTTCCCAAGACTTCTCAATAGTATTCCCACTTGGTTTTTAAAAACATTTCATCTTTCATCTACCCATCATTCAACACATCCACTTCCAAATATCTGAACACACACTTACTACCCTCCAAACCTTCTTCCTCCAATCTGATGTCTAAAATTTTGTCTAATTTTTTTGTATACTAGCATCACTTTCCTCCTTGTCTTTGCTCACATTTAATTTCTTGTTTTTAGACAGCCTTCCAAAGTGTGCCACCAATCTGTCTTACCTTTCTTAAGAGTCTCCCTTAAGAACTGTGTTATCAGTAATGAGCAACTGTGATAACGTCTTAATGCCAGAGTTATTATCTTCATAGCTGGATCTAGGTACCGCCAGTATTGGCAGTTGACCGGGACGAAACAAATTACAGGGCTTCACATGGTAAGGGGCATCACGTGCTTACAAAAGCCAAGTGCTAAGATGGATTACTTGCCACAGGGAATGACGAGGCAGTGTGAGCCCAGGAGTAAACAGTGAACATTATCTTGAATCATTCATTTCTGCTTCTAGAGTTCTGATAGCTTCATAAAACTTATCAGAATGTAACAGAAATATTCATTACACATTTACCTTCACTAACTGCATTTCAGAATATAAGAAAGAAGGAACACTGCAGCAGACCTACTGGCCCATGCGAGGTAGGTCCAAGTCACCTACTGGCCCATGCGAGGCAGGTCCAAGCCTCCTACTGGCCCATGCGAGGCAGGTCCAAGTCACCTACCTATCTCTCTAAAAAATTTTTTTTATTTTTTTTTTATCTTCTAATATTTGTGAAATCAAACTAACAGAAGATGCTTTAACATATGAAGCTGAAGAAAACAATAAATTTACTTATGAATCAAAACAACACGATCAATTTTCCTGTGATGCTGAACACTGCGAATATCATGGTATCTGCAAGACAGTAAATACTGCATGAATTATATTCCTAACCTTGTCATTCACCAGGAGGCCTGCTCTCAGACCGAGCCACGGAGGTGTTGATCCCTGGAGCTCTCTCCAGGTATACTCCAGGTATGCGTGTCTAGTATATTAGTCGAGAACATTTTCAACGGCTGAGAATCATAAACCCAAACTGATTGAACGACCATATAAGTAGGAGATTCCTACTGTATATTTCTTAGAATTACCACACATACCAATCACAAACACTATCACTTTACTAATACTGATGTTGAAAATATCGTCTCAACATTGTTTAAAAAATTCTCTGCCAAGGAAACAGTTCGCCATGTACAAAGTATTTCTTATTTACTTTCTTTAAATCATTTTCGATTCTGTAGCTATTTTAACTAGAGTAGTTTTAACAATGCCACCATTGCCCTCATAAGCAGATCAATTAGATCTACTCATCAGGCCTCCGTGTATCGACTGTAGTAGACCGTAACAAGAGAATGCAATTCATTAAGATGTTAATAGTGTCACAAAGTGCATTCATTTCACAACCCTCATGCAGTAATACAAACTCAACAGCAGTCAGAAGCCCAGAATCTTACCCTGTAACACTTCATGTACGATATCAGTCAGCATAGAACTGTTAATGTAAATTTATGTTGTCAGTTACCTCTCTTATACACTATTACTTAAGGACGTGGCGCAGGTACATTAAGACTGATCCAGATAACCACAAGATATCATGGCATCACTTCAGCCTCTTTCTGGCTCGATATTAGTTAATTTTAAATGAAATATGATGTAAGTATTTGCATTTATTACATTTAATACACACATTTAGAAATTATATAAATAGATCAATAGTGAATATCATTGTACTTCTTTGTTAGGCATAGCTGGGGGCAGGCTTGTGGGTGGGAGCTGGTTTGTAGGTGGGAGCCGGTTTGTAGCTGGGGGTAGGTTTGTATGCTGGGGCAGGCTGGTAGGCTGGGTACTGGGCTTTACCCTCATATTCCACTTGAGCCACGTAGCCTGCGTCACCGTTCACAGTGTATGAAACTCTCTGCAGACGACCATCAGGAAGCAGCACGTAGTAGTTCCCCTGAGTATTGTAGCCGTCACGGGATTCTTGATGTCCAAAGTCGTCACCTGAAGGGTCATCCTTCACGGCATAGTTGAAGTCGTACTTGGGATGACCCTGACAGTGAAAGTACACTACATTATCAAATATTGAAGATTAATATCCATGTGCTGTCAATTTTTTCAGGACATTCTCAAATAAAGAAAATATTGGAGCTCAGTGTATAACAGAATATTTAGTATGCTTATGGCAGCAGGGAAATTATAACATTATATGGATGTCAGTATGAAACACTTCTATCTTAAGGCACATGAGATACATATATAAACCTACAGTTGGTGCTGGGGGGCCATAGGAGGGAGCTGGGTGTTTGTAGGAAGGTGCTGGAGGGTTGTAGGAGGGAGGAAGCTCAGCCGAGACAACGGCAACAAACACTCCCACGATGAAAGCCTGTAAACCATAGATATATGACATTAGTTTCTATAGTAAATTTGAAAAGCGTTTGTAAATTTGAAATGAATATTTTCATATTGCTCACACACACTGGTATTACAATTTTTTTGCTTTACATTCCAAGAATTACCTTCAGAAACATGTTATTAGTTGATCACTTCGTCTTAAACTGATGATCACTGATGCTCCCTTGTCGTTTATATACTGGAGACTCCACCCACAATGTGGTTGACCGAGAAGTGGCCATCATTGTGACCTTCTCCTTTTCCTTTTACTACTTATTGGAAATTCTGAGAAACCTCTACCTAGTGCATTAAGAAGCACACGAATGCTGGAGAGACCACTGAACGAGGAGTGTTTAACTGCTTCCATTATAAACTGGTTTGCAAATTCATGCATCTCTAAATTACGCCAGACCTTTGTTTTTGCTGGATAAGAACACATTTTACGCGCCCTTATCACCTATCTTCAAAGGAACCATTACCTGTACTATCTAACAGTTCCTAGAGGCCACCCAAATTAATAGTGGACAAATTATTATGTAAGCGCACCTTTCCCTCTCGTTTAATGCAAATTTGGTGGCTGTTCTCGGTTAGTAGGTAAGACACATAGACAACATTTAGGCAACTTTATTCCGAAACGTTTCGCCTACACAGTAGGCTTCTTCAGTCGAGTACAGAAAGCAGGAGGGAGCAGTAGAGATGTGAAGACGATGTAATCAGTCCATCACCCTTGAAGTCGTCGATTTGAGGTTGTCAGTCCCTCAGCCTGGAGAAGTTATGTTCCAGGCTGAGGGACTGACAACCTCAAATCTACGACTTCAAGGGTGATGGACTGATTACATCGTCTTCACATCTCTACTGCTCCCTCCTACTTTCTGTACTCGATTGAAGAAGCCTACTGTGTAGGCGAAACGTTTCGGAATAAAGTTGCCTAAATGTTGCCTATGTGTCTTATCTACCAACCTGTCGGTATTGTATACCATTTGATAATTGTTCTCGGTTAATTCAACCATTGTAGAAATAAAACTGTATTTCCGATGTAAATAACACAATAATAAGAGCAGTTCATTCAATGACCGCGGGTTCAAACCCCACCCGTGGTATGGTTTGTTTGCAATCGTGTCATTACGATTTCATGAGTCTAGTAGTGTTGGTATGTTATATGTAAACTAGACAGTGCTGCTCTGTCCTGCCGGCCTGGGCTCGCGTTTCTATGAATTACATGGCATCTGCTACAGGAATTATTTATCTAAAAGCACAGAGACAGTAGAGTAACAGGCAACAACTCGACACTCTGACTATAATCGCCCTCGCATGGACCAGTAGGCCTGCTGCAGTGTTCCTTCTTTCATAACTTACTTCCTATCAACTTTGAACATAATCACAAATTCTTATTTATTTGTATTTATGACTTGTGTTTACGCTGAGTCTTCCAGAGCGACCTAACTAATTAACACAAATCGTAGCCTTGCAACCCAAGCAGTTTTTCTTTTATTTTATTTCTAACTCTATTATTACACTTATTAAAAGACGTTACTTTCTGTGAGAATTATGTGACTCTTTGATATAGAGTAACAAAACCCATTTTTACACTCATTACAATCAGTCTATTGTTGCTCTCCTTTCACCAGTGACAGCACTTTTTGACTCTACTGAGATTTATTAACAATGAGCTGAATTTGTTGTATTTTGCCTCCTCGATATCCTTCACCTGCTCTTCCTCCTCCAACTCCTATTTATTCTCTTATTGCTCTCCCTTTTTATGAAATAATTTTAGGAGAATAACATATGCTTATCACACTGAATAAAGAAAGAACAACAAGACACAACACTGCACATAGGAGAGAGAAGCTTACGACCATTTACAAAGTCACATTGTGTGACTGTGTAAATGGTCCAAGTCGGACCGAAGCGTTGTCTTAAGCTCCTCTCTCCTATGTACAGGTTATTTGTGTATTGCTTATCACACTGGATATTTGCTTTTAGCCCCTATGATGTGATGCATATTAAGTCACACAAAACTATAATAAACAGTTGTAACTGTTTCCTATTGACTGCAGGGGATCGAACCACGGGCAAGAATTTACAAGCTTCTCTCCCCCCCCTCAACACTCCTGCCACCCCCAGCCTTATAAATACTTATTATAACGCTTCTGAGCAATTTTACTCTAATCTATATACTTCCTGAATATAACTTCCATTTTCCTAGTTATTCATTTACTATTATCCCTACTCCTTTAGCTCTAGTTCCATCATTTTTTTTTTATACTGACATATGCAAGTTCCTCTTGTACTTTTCTGGCAACTGAAACAGAACAACGTGTTGCTGATCTCTTGTTCTCTACATTTTTAGTCGTCCCAACGAAAGAAGGAAAAATTACAACCCATTTTCCAATGAAAATTTGTAAGAAAACCCTACAAGAGCAAGAAATTTTTAAGAAATGCCGAAGACAACTCAGAATTGTTATTATTATTATTATTATTATTATTATTATTATTATTATTATCTATTATTATTATTATGACACTTGATCTACTACCAAGTGTCACTTGGTCGTACACCAAGTGTCATTAGACTATGTCAGTTGGCCTCTTCATCTGACATCATTTCAGCTAAAGATTCCACGTGGAATATGTTTATATAAGTAAGAACCTCTTCCAGGTGAGAAGTTAAGCGAAGATAGTAGATGAGAAAACACTTTGATCAGTGAAGGAACAAAAGAAAGTGACAGTGCCAGAGCTTGACCCAGCTGAAGATTGTCTAAGTTATGATGCAAGATCATAACGTAGCTGCAGGATAGTGAAGTGTAGACGATTGGTCTTGATTCTGGCTCGGGGCGTCAAGTGGTATTAGAGTACAATGTGTGAACTGACATTCATTGTGTGCCGAGTCCCATGTAAACACAAGGTGTTAGCTAATGTTCTCTTGTTGAGGGTTTAGTTGTGCTCTGCACTTTCTTGCATAGTTTATTGAATATTTTTTTGAATTAGTGATATAAGGCAAGATATTATTTTGGATGTTACATAGAAGATTGTAATGGACGGCACATGAACCCTTACAATGGTTAATTATTTTTAATGCATCATTTTGTCACTAGATGGTGCTGCTATATTCATCCATACGATATCAGGTCTTGGCCGTCTTTCTGAATCACTGATCATAAGTTAACTTACTGCTAATTAAAAGACTATACTTTGATTTGCTTGTCTTTATTAAGTATAATACACCTTTTTTATATTTACATAAATATAGGGTAATAATATATATTAGGGAATTAATAAGTTAAGCATAGCCGGGGGCAGGCTTGTAGCTGGGTTGGTAGGCTGGGTACTGGGCTTTACCCTCATATTCCACTTGAGCCACGTAGCCTGAGTCACCGTTCACAGTGTATGAAACTCTCTGCAGACGACCATCAGGAAGCAGCACGTAGTAGGTCCCCTGAGTATTGTAGCCGTCACGGGATTCTTGATGTCCAAAGTCGTTACCTGAAGGGTCGTCCTTCACGGCATAGTTGAAATCGTACTTGGGATGACTCTGGAATTTAAGGCAAAACGTTTTTTTTTTTTCACAAAATTTTTGCTTCCTGTTTTTTTTATATTCTCTCAATCATAACACATTATCATAAAACCTTTATCATGCCTATAAATGCAAGAAAATTATCACATAGTCCTGGATTTCATTATACGACACTTATCTTGGGATACATGAGATACATTCATGAACTTACAGTCTGGGCAGGAGCCCTGTAAGAAGGAGCTGGAGGGTTGTAGGAGGGTGGAAGCTCTCCAGACGCCACAACCACAAATATTGCCGCGGTGAGAGCCTGCAAACCATAGAAATATGTTATATACTTACATGAACTTCAAAGCTGTTTGATATAATTCAGGTTTTTTAGACAATGATATTGCAAATGCTTTTGTTTTTTTTCCGCTTCAATACAATACCTTGAGTAGCATGTTATTGGTAGATCAAGAAAAGTGAAATTAATGTTTACTGATGCGTTCTTCTCGCTTATATACTGGAGACTCCACCTATAATGTGACGTCAGTAGCACCGCTGGGAAAGTAGCACATTCTAAATGTGTGAAAATAACATGATTACTTGATGAAGATGTGGTGATCATTGCTTGATGAAGGTGTAGTGATCATTGCTCGATGGAGGTGTGGTGATCATTGCCTGATGAAGGTGTGGTGATCATTGCTTGATGGAGGTATGTTAGGTAAGACACATATGCAACAGTTAGGTATCTTTATTTCGAAACGTTTAGCCTACACAGTAGGCTTCTTCAATCGAGTACAGAAAAGTTGATAGAAGCAGAAGAGACTTGAAGACGATGTAATCAGTCCATCACCCTTGAATTTTTGAGGTGGTCAGTCCCTCAGTCTGAAGAAGAGTATTGTTCCATAGTCTGAAACAATATGGAGTTGAAGTGACAGGATGAAGCCTTATATAACGCCAGAAGGTGAGATGAAGACCACTAATAGAGGTAAGAATGTAGTCGTTGGGAGGTAAAGTCAGACACTACAACACAAGGGTATCTTGGTACAGACCTGAAATCAACTTGGACAACTTCTACTAGTGAGAATGGCTGGATTTGAGAGGGACCTGACCTCCCAACGACTACATTCTTACCTCAACTAGTGGCCTACATCTCACCTCCTGGCGGTATATAAGACTCCATCCTGTCACTTCAACTCTATATTGTTTCACACTATGGAACAATACTCTTCTCCAGACTGAGGGACTGACCACCTCAAAACTTCAAGGGTGATGGACTGATTACATCATCTTCAAGTATCTTCTTCTATCAACTTTTCTGTACTCGACTGAAGAAGCCTACTGTGTAGGCGAAACGTTTCGAAATAAAGATACCTAACTGTTGCATATGTGTCTTACATAACAACCTGTGGGTATTTTATACCATTTTAATGTTCACATTGATGGAGGTATGGTGATCGTTGCTTGATGGAGGTGTGGTGATCATTGCTTGATGGAGGTGTGGTGATCATTGCTTGATGGAGGTGTGGTGATCATTGCTTGATGGAGGTGTGGTGATTATTACGACTTCCGCCGCCCCTCTTCTTTCTCCATAACTTCATCACAATCATGAGAAAAATCAATTTAACACATTCATGCCTT